AGCAGGCAAGCAGGCAAGCAGGCAAGCAGGCAAGTAGGCAAGCAGGCAAGCAGGCAAGCAGGCACAAGCAAGGCAGGAAGAAACAAAAGTCTTACCAATACTAAAGGATCCAGGCGTGGTAATCTACTCGACACTTTGAAGTGATTTCTATGTAGCCAGTCCGTAACCAACGTCTCTTGTTGCCTTAGCAATGCATGTGGAAAGTGCTGTGTGGCTCGATGGATTTGCCATTCCACCAAAGGCCCCAATGTTCTCTTCTCAATATCCATGATGCCACTCGTACTGGGCACTGGGTTGGAAGAGTTTAGTGTTAATAATAGATTGCTCACGAAACTAGCTGGCTGACGTTTACCTCGGATATACTGAATTTCCATTTAGATCTACTGTCATTTCCTTGAGTATCATTTTTTGTCTAACGGTTGTGATGAGAAGACAAATGAATATGGATACAACTAAAACAAAGAATCTTATTCTCGAGGGAAGGACACGTGGTCTGAAATGGGAAAATTTTTAACCTAATGGAAAGAGGATTAAAAAGCTGATTGGTTAAATTTAGAGCTCGTTTACATGAAGGAAGGGTTCCTCTACTCCTAAGGCCACCTCTTATGTTTGTTTGTTTGTTTTATTCTTTAAGATGCACCTACAAAACCTCGTGGGTTCTGTGTGAGTAAACATGCTACGCTGAGTCGAAGAAAGAAAAAACTATCTAGACTTAAGAACAGAAATGTCGTACCTGAATCAGAATTTGAGCGCGAAGTATTTATAGAAGCTTTCCAACTCAGTGGATAGAGGAATATCTCGAGTTTCGAGACACATCATCATCATCATCGTCAGAAGCTTCAAAACGTTTCCAATCGTTTTAACCCAAAATGCATGCTTTACTTTCGATGGTACTTATTTGAAAATAGCCGAGGAACATAAATTATGCTAAAGAAGCTTTATGTTCAACAGTGTTTCAAGAACTACTCCAGTTTCGACGGTACTTATATGAAGAAGGAATTAAAAACCAAGCTTAAAATCTTCAACTATGTATTTTTGTTGATGGTAACTCATATAGGCTTGTTGACAATAAACACCTTTAACTACTTGCTTTTCTTAGACTGTCTTTGGTAGCGGGATGTATTAAAAATGACTGTTTAGTACGCATAGAAACAGCGAATGGAAGAATAATGCAAATGCTTCACAACTACAATATTATAACTCGTTAACACATTGCATAAAGCATTCCTGCGACTATCAAATATAAAGTGCGACCTTGAACAAAAGCTGTCGAGCAAAACTCGGCCATTTATAGAATATATTGTAGGGCAAAAATAATGTGAATGTTGTCTAAGATTATAGACATAAGAGAAAATCCTTTTAAAACTTAAACTTTCAAATTTTTTTTTTGACCTAAAAATCTAGTGTTAAAAAATGATATTTTGCATTAGACGTGAGTGGCCATTGTTTTGTTTGAGTTTCCAGACGTGTTGCTAAGCACCAGATTGAAACGATGGCCAACTAATACTTCGATTTTCTTACAATAAAATACGAAAAAAATACATATAATTATGTTTATCCAAAGCTCAAGAAAATAATATTGATATCAAAACTAAAACAACAATGAGATTTTTTTGAATAAGAAGATCATAAAAAGCGCTCATTTTTAGCAATTACCTATTCCTTATTTTAAAACTGTAAATCGAAACAACGGGGAAAAAACAAAAGGCGGAAACTAATTTACAGAGAAATAGAAAAGATTCGAATGAAAAACCGGTAGAAATATCCGAGATAATATCACTGAAAAGGTTTCTTTTTTACAGAAAGCGCATTTTGGTTTAGCAGTTTTAGATGCAAATTAAGATAAAATTATCAGGTTGATTTGAGCAGCTTCTGTTTGACATCGTGACAAGACACATTAGGCTTCACATGGTATGAATTCGTATTAATTTCAACCATGGATACGTTCAGGTCGAAAATGAAAATACAGAGATAAATAAAAATTTAGGGTTGTGAAATAAAAAAAAAACAGGTATTAACTTTTATTCGTAGAGATTTTTAAGGAACGCTGCGGAAAAGATTGGTGTCACTTCGATCAAACTCGGTGTAAACAGATTGTGTGAAAGCCAGCAAATACAAGTGTTTTTCATTTGTCTACGAGGCAATAGCCGGAAATAATCTTAGAATTTAAGGCTTGATAAAGTCAAGGTATAAATTAGTATTGTAGAATACAAAACAATCCATAGAATAAGGTAGTTACTGTAAAAGATCATTCAAAAGTAGGTCACAGTCTAGCACTTATACTTACGTCGCGGTAACTGAATTTCGCCTCGGCTTTTTTCCATTTTTTCTCGTACATCTTTTTTTGACCTCGAATCTGACGAGGTTTTGGTTATAAGCTGTTTATCCGTCAGCTTGGGAAAAATTATTCCAGTTTTAACCATAATTCAAGCGCATTTTTGAGTAAATATATAAATTCTATACGAATTAAGCGAACCCATGTCGCGGCACTTCTATCTCGATCAGTATCCAAGGCAAACGTTCAATACAAGCACATTAAATATTCAAAAGATGATGAATAAACTGAATGACAAATTGCGATATTCGTCGTATGTAAGATTGATACGCAAATAAATTGTATTTGCTCAAAGGCTTAAACTGTATTGATCAGTTGAATATCTCGGCCGGTGACTTATTTTTACTAAATCAGTTCGAATATCTTTTCTACATACAGTTCTCAACCATGACAGCCGATCGGGCTTTTTAAATTTTTCTCTCTGGCCCGATTACAGTCAGATTTACGTCATTAATCAGGTCTTTCAAGTGCACTACATGTCACTTATAATAACAGTTTTAAGGTTTTTTGAAACTTTTTTTAGTCGTCCCTCCCCCGAGGGTCTCGCTATGCGATTGGATTTCATCTCTCTATCCTACCCCCGCTAAAAACGTACATTTTCCCTTCTCATCCCAACGTATTTCATTTGAAGCTCGAGAAAAATCCTCACTTTCGGAAGACCGCCGTTCCAAGTTTTCCACTAAGCTCCAGATTTTGACTGCAATTTTTACGCGCTGGCAATGAAATTTTAAACTGTTGGTTACATTGCCAGCGTCAAGAAAATAGACCTCTTTACCTTGGGCGTAATATTTTTTCCATTTCAGACTGACATGACATTCCCTAAGATATCATTTCTTTTGTTCCATTTCAGACCACGTCATTCCCTAGAGTATCATTTCTTTGTTTAATGGTTGTACATGAGAAGACACAAATATGGATACAAGACAAAGAATCTTATTCTTAAGAGAATGACACGTGATCTGAAATGAGAAAATTTACGTTCAAGGTAGAGGTTTATTGCATGTTTTGTACTAGCGGCAAAACTCTTTCAAATGTTGTAGAAAAATTAAATTGCACTTTACTCAGCAACTTTTTAAAAACTGCGCACAAAAAAAAAAACGTATCACTGATTTGACGTTAGACGCTGCAACAAATTGCATGAAATGATACAGACCCGTTCCACGTGATAAACAATGCCTTGCGCGTCTAGATTCCAAATCACTTGGAAGGATTTCGTATCCAAGACCGACACACATATTCGATCAGTAGAGAGTTTAATAAATAATGGTAATTGAACTGAGTGGAGTGCAATTTGGTCTGAAATCAAACGCGCGATTACAAAATCGCACGACCGCGTAGCGGGAGTGCGATTTGTAATTGCAAGTTTGATTTCAGACCAAAATTGCACGACACGAAGTTCAATTACCACTTTATTATATCCATTTTGAAATCTTTTTTGAAAAAGACGTTTTTTCCAGTTAAACCGATATGACTTACAATCTATAAGCAGTCGATTCAAACATGCTGTCAAGAGAACTTGTTTATACTGATCGAGCAA